AGGTGCAGGGCAGGGAGACCCGGCTGGTGCTGGAGGTGGCTCAGCACCTGGGTGAGCATCTGCCGCAGAAGGGCTGCAGAGGGTGGGAGGGGTCCTCCTGTGATGATGTCTCTTGATGACTTTCGTTCTCCTGAGCTTGCTGAAGCCAAGGATTTCAATCTGAGGAGGAAAATGGCTGCCGGAGGGCTCTGGCCTGCAGGGCTGCAGTGTGAGCGTGGCCTGCGCTTGTGCTGTTTTGTTCCTGGGTTGCGCTGCTCCTCTTGGTCTTCCTCCCAGCAGCCTGTTCCCTTGGCAGGGCCTGGGGAAGCCACCAGCAGCTGTCCCCAGGGTCAGGCCGAGGGCACTGCTGTGACGCTGTCCTTGGGCTTTGGCAGGAGAGAACACTGTGCGCACCATCGCCATGGATGGGACGGAAGGCCTGGTGAGAGGACAGAAAGTGCTGGACTCCGGTGCACCCATCCGCATCCCCGTCGGCCCCGAGACCCTGGGCAGGATTATGAACGTCATCGGGGAACCCATCGACGAGAGGGGCCCCATCACGACAAAACAGTGAGTGATGCCGGGAGCCAGCATCACGCGGGGTTTGGAGGCGGGGGTGCAGGTTTGGGAGCAGCAGACACGCGTGTGAAGAGGGTTGTGACACGCCCCTGCCGCACCCCTGATCTCCTGCGTCACGAGCAGGCTGCAGGCTCCTGCCGGCACCCTGACCGAGGGTCTCGGTGCAGCTGCTCAGCTCCGTTTCTCTCCGCCTCCCGCGGCAGGTTTGCTGCTATCCACGCCGAAGCCCCCGAGTTCGTGGAGATGAGCGTTGAGCAGGAGATCCTGGTGACGGGCATCAAGGTCGTGGACCTGCTGGCTCCTTATGCCAAGGGCGGCAAGATCGGTACGTTGCCCCCAGAGGAGGGGGGGGTGTCTGGGGAGGGGGACACCCTGCCAGCCCCTGTGAGGCTCGGGACCGGTCCCTCTGCAGCACTTCCCTTTGCTGATGAGTCACTTCTTGACTTTCGTTCTTCTGAGCTTGCTGAAGCCACGCTTACTGACCTGAGGAGGGAAGGGGGGAAGGGAGGCACCGGGGGCAGCCGGATCGGCTTGGGGCTGAGCGGGACTCCTCTTCCTCCCAGGTTTGTTTGGAGGCGCTGGCGTCGGCAAGACGGTGCTGATCATGGAGCTGATCAACAACGTGGCGAAGGCCC